TCTGTGTTATCTCCAGAATCCCATGAATAGGCACCTCTGATATTATTTTCAACCTTCAGCCCTCAGCCAAAAGCAAGACATTTTAACACCMGTTCCATGCATATGGTCTCATTGAATGTTCCCAGCTGATCAAGGTTCCTGTTATCATGTCATTTTACAGATGAAGAACTTTGGCTCCGTAGATAAACACTCTTCCCAGTCATGTGGGAGTCACGTTCAGTTGCTTCACTGAGCTGCCAGGCCAGGCCAGGCCRTGCCAGGGGTGTCGTGCTCCATCCCCAAACCCTGCCAGGAGCCCAGGAAGCAGCCTTTCCTCCCAGTGTAAGTGGCATGACCTTTTTTCAGCCACCCTTATGTCATCCTCCGTCATCCTATGAGATAGCTTCCATCTGCATTTTACAGGAGAGAGGAAGTGGAGAGAGAAATGTGAAGTGCCTTGTCTCTGCCACCTGCTGGAGAATAAAGGGGCCTCAAGGCACCTGGGCTTGTCTGACTGTAAACTCTGTTCTCACCATTAGGCCACAGCTTCCCCAGACAAGCTCCCAAGACAGACTGCTGCCCTTTCCATGTCTCACACACAGGTACGTGCAAATCCGTGTGTGTGTGCGAGAGAGAGAGAGAGAGAGAGTGAGCCCATCATGCTTGTGCAGGAGCTGTAACCCAGTTCAGCACCAGGTCCCTGATCTGTCAGTAGCTCAGTTCTTCCACAGCCTCTGAAATTCAGTGTTCACTTCCGGATTCTGTAAGTTGAGGCCACACCCCTATCAAGGTAGCCTGCTGGACAGAATCTAAAAAGATCCCCTACCGTCCGTTTTATTCATGTGATCCACAATAAGTCTCACACATGTGTCAGGTGGATGTGCACATGTGTGTGTGTGTGTATGCATGCGTGTGTGTATGTGAGCCCATCACATCTGTGCATGAACTGTAGCCTAATGCCAAGCTCTCCTTCCCAATCCCCAAACTCCCTAAGCTTCTGTGTGTCTACCACCAGACACCACCTCCTTCTGTCTTTGTGTGTGTTATTTCATTTTACTTTTTCCCAGCTTCATTAGTGCATATTTAGTAATGAAAATCAAATACTTTAATATGTGATGATTTGATACACAGATCATGCACTGTCAAGTGATTACATCAATCAACACACTATCCCTGCCCCGTTACCCTGCTGTGTGTGGTGAGAGCACTCAAGCTCTGCTTTCTTGGCTGATTTCTAGTATACAATATGGCATTATTAAGCACAGTTGCCATTGTACATTAGAGCTCCAGAATTTTTTCATSTTGCAGTTGAACGTCTGTGCCCTCCTTCTGTCTTGAGAAACCTGTTTGCCCAGGTGTATGGGAGTGAGGTTGCCAGTGGCAGCAGGTACAGCACCTCATTCTGAGCCTTGTCTCCTTTCTCATCGGACCCCTGGGGCCTGGGTAACGCTGACCCCAGAGCAAGCTCTCTTTCCTCCAGGACCATACTTTGCAGAGGAATAGATACTGTCCCTCAGAACCCAAGGCCCAGTGGACTGGAGTGAGATTTCAGGGCTTTCCCCTCTCCTCTCACCTGGGGGAGGAGCCAGGGCTCATCTGGGCCTTACCTGAGCTGTCAGGGCAGCTGTGGGAGGTCAGGCCAAAGCTGCATAATCCTTGGAGCTGAGACTGAGAAGTTTGGTACAGTTCTGGTTATGCTGACAGGGGTCAGTAAGGTCTGGCAGGGGTAAGTGTTCTGAGAGCAGAGACTAGAAAGCTCCCTTATTTTCTTCTCTTTTTTCCACCCCTGGATCTGAGTTGCCTTCTTTCTCTGTTTTACCCCTCCTTCCCTCCCAGAATCAAGCACCCAGCCTGACCACACAGGGGCCTCTTTGGTCTTGCTTCTCAGCCAAACCCGAGAGGGGGAGAGAGAGAGAGAGAGAGAGAGAGAGAGAGAGAGAGAGAGAGAGAGAGAGGAGAGAGAGAGCGCGCACAGGCACTGCCTTATCAATGCCAGGGTGTCACTGGAATTGTGTTCTTGGAACATGATGCCCTTGGAGTTGTGGAGTGGTGTGGACTGACACATTAGAATTTCATGGAGCGGTGTTTGGATTTGAACTGAGCTGAACACAGGTTTGTGAAAAGAACAGCTTCCCAGGTCAGGGAAGGAGGGGTGAGTGAGGCTAGGGTGGTAGGACAGGGGCTAGCAAGGTCTCTAGAACTGGGGCCCAGAAACAGAGGGACTCTTGTCCCCAGCCCAGCCACCTCTGCAACCTGCTCAGAGCTCCCATCTGAAGAGGGAACACAGAGCTGATTCCTACACCACCAGGTGAGACGCCCCTTCCAGACTCTCRCTCCCTAGAGGAAGGCCGGGAGGGAACGGACAGTGGTGTGGAGAAGCTTTTAGAGTCAGGCAAATTTGAATTCAAAACCCAAACCAACCATGGACACCTGCCAGGGCGGAGGCCAGTCAGAGGTACAGTCAGAAGGACTGCACAAGATTCTTCTTGGGGAGAAGAGCATTGGCAGGAAACCAGGAGCATGCAGGCAGCATCAAGAAAGAGGCCCTTCAGGTCTCTCTGACTCGGGAAAAGGAGATATTGCTGGCCTGCTGTTTTCCATTTACCTCCTCTGCTCTTGTGAAGCCCAACTTCTGACCTCTAGGAGCTGCAGTGTGAGGAAGAGGGAGAGGTTTTAGGGAGCAAGAAAGTTTTGACTGGAGTAGGACTCTTCTGAAAAGACTCTGGCTCATGGACTGGAGGAGGGAGAAGGTTGACTCTTTCCTGAGAACACTCCTGGGAGTACCCAGGATCCCTCAGCCTGGAGAACTCTCCAGCGTACCCCAGGCAAAGCACCAAGTTCAGTTCTTCCACAGCCTCTGGAATTCAGTGTTCACTTTCAGATTGTGTAGGCTGAGGCCCTACCCCATCACGGTGGCCTATGGACAGGTTCTAAGAAGATCCCTCAGTCTTTTTCATCCATCTAGTCATCACACACACATACACACACACACACACGCACTCACAATTCTTACACAATCTTTGTCCACCCCTGTTTGCAGGACAATCCCAAACCAGCACCTCCCAGCCACACCACAGCTGAAGCTCCTGCCATTTCCATGTCTCAGGTTGGAGTCAGACCCTGGTCCTCATAACTGAGGGCGATKCTCTCAAACTCTCCAAGTTTCCCTGCCACAGCTCCTGTGTGCCCAAATCTGCTGGTTTAGAATTAGGCAAAATGTGCGGGGACGGAGGCTCAGCCTCAAGAACCCATGAGGTGGTGGGGGACAGAGGCATGTAGGCAGCAGTGCAGTCCTTGGGGTCAAGGTGAGCCCTTCCTGGTGAGGAAGGCAGGAGGAAGTGCAGACTCAGCAGGATTCTGCTGTTCTCCTCTTCCCTTCTCTTCCCTTCTTTCTTTCTGGGAGCCTTCACTGTGGCACCTTCAGTGACCTGAGCTCAGTCCTGTCTTTCTCCCCTCCCGGATTAACACCCAAGCTTCTTCCAGCCTCATCTCCCTCTGCTCCTCCACTCAGCTCACCGCCAGGGGCTGTCTGACCAACCCTCTATGACATCTGGCCCTTCACATTTTCCTGATGTTGCTAACTCTTCTGTTCCCCTTGCTCCTCTCATTTATCTGATAAACTCTTATTCATCATCAGATGTGAAAGACATTTACTCTGCAAACACTTTGAGTTACCCTTCTGGCATCTAATGCTAATGGTTCTGAATTCTTCTGACCCTGTCCCAGCTATGAACTAACCTAACCTTCTTCCTAGATCAATGCCCCGCTTCTTAAAGTACGGTGTGGCCTATGCCTAAAGTTCTGGTGGGGGGGGGGCGGGGCTGGGAAGAGAATGTTTAGAACCCTACCTCTCACTTTCCTTATCTCAGAAAAGGAAAGGGCTCCTACACCCAGMCCTGGGATTCTCATGGGATGCTGGGGGTGCCATAGGTTCAGGGCCAGCAGGGATCCTTTACCTGCTCCAACCTGAGCCCCTGGCCTGTGTATGTAGCAGGTGCATATAAGAGGATACTAGACTGAAGTGTCCCAAATGCAGCTGTTTTGGAAGGACCAGGTAAAGGAGCATGCCTCGTGCCAGGGCTCTGGCCTCCTTAGTTTCTTCATACTAACCCAAAGAGCAGGCAGTAGCTCATGTTTACAGAGGGTCTCAGAAGCGCATCCTAACCTCATTGGCATTGCAAGGCAGGCAAGGCACAGTCCCATTATGAGGACACTCAGGCTGGAGAYGGTCAGCAATTTGCCCAACGTGATTTGCATTTGGTGAGAGGTGCAGCTGGGACTAGAAGGCGGGCTCCCTGAGTACTCAAAGCTGGTCTTCSCTGGGCCCGGGGAATTCTATGTCCTCTTCAGGGAAGACCCACCCATTCCATCTGTCACAGCACAGGAGAAGGGTGTGGACCTGGCATCAGAAGATGTGAACTCTGGTCCTGCCTTGCCCAGAAGGTCCTGCTCTGTTCCATAGAATAACTCTTGTCTCTTCTTGGGGCTCAGTGTCCTATAGAGTAGGAAAGGGAACATGACATCCCCACCTGAGCCCCTGGCCTGTGTATGTAGCAGGTGGGAGTTCATGAGTGGTGGCTGCCTTGCAAGGGTCCTGGTGGTGGCTTCCTTTCTCTTCCCTCATCTCTTTCCCACTGGGTGAAGGCAACTCGCATCAGATGATTTAGAAAGCTGGATTCCAGWCCCAGCTCTGGCTTTACCTCCCTAGGCCTCAGTTTCCCCTCCACAGAGCGGGAGCTTGAACACCTTGATTTCTGAAGTCCCTTCAAGCTCTTGGGATCTGTGACTCTGCTCCTTTCCCCTCCTGCTCCTGCTCCTGCCCCTCTGAGGGTAATGAGGGTGCATGTGCATGTGTGTGTGTACCTGTGTGTGCATCTGCAGGGGCAACAGGGAAAGGGAAGGAGGGCAGGAGTCCTACAGGGATGCGGGGCAGTTGGGAGTAATTTATGTGCCAGCTTCAGAGCTTTCTCCAAGGCTAATGGAGCCTGGGGCTGATTAATTATTAAAGGAAAGGAATTAATCCAGGAGCGCCTCAAAGTCCAGCCAGCTGGGGACTGACTGTGGCAGACGAGCAAGAGCTGGCAGCAATGGGGCCCCGAGCTTCAGGGAACCTGCTCAGGATGGAGAGAGCTCCGCGCTCAGCACTGGGCCCTGAAGTTAGCCTGCATGCCTACGACATTGGGGTGGTGGTCACCTACTTTGTCTTTGTCACTGCTGTGGGGATCTGGGTAAGTGGGGCCTGAGGCCAGGGCCTGGGAAGGGAGGTGGGAGCTGGAGGCAGAGGTGGGCAGAAGGAAGCGGATCACAGAGCCAGAGGAAACTGAGATGGAACTGACTTCAGAAATCGCCCTCCCCCACCTAACCTTCCATAGGAGGGAACTGAGGCCCAGAGAGCACTGTGGCCTGCCAGAAGTCACTCAGTGAGCCAGAGGCTGGCCAGGCCTGGAGCCCCTGTGACCATCTCCCTATCTGTATGCATCTGACACTTTTGGTCCTAACATCCCTGACCACTCTGAGCCTCACTCCTGCCTTCCCCAACCCAAAGACGTTCAATGTGGAGAAAATCTGACTGCCAGCCCTCTCTCAGTCCTGTTAATATCTGGGTCAAAGAGCTGGAGCTCATGTATTCTAAAGGGCTCCAAACATATTCCAAGTCCCTCTGTTCTCCATTGATCCCAGGAGTTGTGGCCCTGGACAGGACCTGGCTTTGATGTCAGGGATCCCTGAGCTCAAGTCCCAACTCCAGCAATCAGAGTCACATGACCCTGGGAATCTAGAAGCCGCTGTGATCTTCGGTTGTCTAATGTGAACATGGAAAGTAAGATCAATGCTGTAGAAAGTTGTGATCATTCAGTGACAGGACACATCTAAGCACTTGGCATGGTGCCTGGCTGCTAACGTCACCATAACATCTTAAGACAGCTGCCAGGCAGACTCTGATCCAAGTCCCATTTAATCACTGCTTGGCCTGTATCGAGGTCAGGAACACTTTCTGAGCTTCAGTCCCCTTCCCTGTAAGGGGAGGTGACAGTCCCTGCCTCCCAGAGCTGGTGCAAGAAGAAGTAAGCAGGCAGGTGCTCAGTGGCTTGTGGGAGGTGGCCAGAGGGAAAAGTGCCAATCCTACTATGGGCTGGACAAGCTGTTTCCTGCCCGGCGCTGCTTTTTCTCATCTGTGAAATGAATTTGTGTCCCTCCTATGGCCTCCAGGAAGATCAGAAGTGAATGTCCAAGCAAAAGCTTAACAAGTACAAGGCCCTCTAGTCACTAATTTCTTTTCCCTTTTCCTCCTTACCTTCAAGGATTTCTCGAATCTCAGACCTAGTCAGAGAACTGCTGCCCTCTGCATTGGAGTACATGCTTTGAGTTCACCCTTCTCTGCCCGCTGCATTGGCCTGGGGTCCCCAGAGAACAGGCTTGCACTCCTCACTCCCCTTCATTCTTCAGAGCATGGCTCCAAACAGGCTAGCCACCTACTGGTTCCCACCATGGTCCCGATGGACTTCAGGCCAGGCCAAGGGAATCCCCCAAACAGAGCCCATCATCCTGACGAAAGCCCAGAATCCCAGTCAGACTGGGTGGAATGGCTGCCCCCTCTCTGGTGTGGGAGACCACGTGGGAGGAGAGGAGAGGCAGTCACTATGCACCAGAGGCTGAGATTCCAAACCATGTCCTAAAGGAAGACACTGGGGGGAGGGAAGGAAGGGGACACTGATTACCAATGGGCACACCTGCACAGCATTGGCCATTCATGAAGACCTTGGACACCCTTTACCTCCTCTGCTCTTCACACCAGATCTGGGGGAAGGTACCAAGGTTCACAGAGAGGAAGCAGCTCTCCTCAAAATGCACAACTTAAAATGGCAAAATCTGCCAGCACYCAGGCAGCTCTGCCCTGCCTCACGTCTCACCCTCCACATCCCCTCAGTGCCTGGGTGGATGACAGAGGCTGGGAGAAGTGCAGGAAGTCTTTGTCTCTTGCTGTTTCCTTTCCAGTCGTCCATCCGTGCAAGCCGAGGGACCATTGGGGGCTATTTCCTGGCGGGAAGATCCATGAGCTGGTGGCCKGTGAGTGGACCTTTCTCCCTTCCCTCTCCATGTGGAGGCTCAACTTCCCTCCTCCTCCCACCAACCACAAACTCTTCTCTGCCTCTCTCCCTGGACCAAGGGAACAGCTTCCCACTCCAATCCATCCAGCAAAAAAGTGACCTTGCTACCCAGGACAAGTGTCCCGTGGATACCTCCTAGATTTGGCACCAGGGCTTTCAAGAGCTCAGAGGAAGCCCTGAGCTGCAGGCAGTGCCATGGACTAGAGGGAGAAGTAGGAAAAAAACTGGGGGAGGGGGAGGTGACACATCAGCTTATAGCAAAGAACAGGCAAATGAGGAGAATCAGCAGAAATCCCAGCCACCTCAAGAAATCAATCTCGAAACCATCACAAAATCCCCAATCTCTCCCATCAACCCACCAGCATTTCCACCTGTCCTCAGAACTAACTTCCTCCTCCAAGAATGAGAAGGAGGGAGGTCAGTCCTGCCCCAGAAATCTAACAGGAGAGTCATCAGCTGGGTGGACACAGAAGCCGTCTACACACCCAGGCATGTCCCACTCACACCCTCACACTCATACCCTCACACTCACATACTGACAATCACACACTCAGTCACACTCTCACACATGCACTTCTATCCCTGCTCACACATTCACACTCTCCCAACACCACACTCAGACTCACACACACAGCCCCAGCCACCTTCCCACCTGTCTGGGTTCTCACCACTTTCCCTGCCCACCACTAGGCACTGAGAGTGGAGGAAACCCATCAGGGTGCAGGGCTCTCTGGTAGGCTTGGGTATCTGAGGCAGGAAGAACCAGAGGCAGGGACTTCTCAAGCTGTCTAGACTCCCCAGGCGGTGGGGGTGTTGAGGGCCTGGAAGCTCACAGGGACAGGAACAGGTCTCTGGAGCTGCCAGCCACACCCACATTAGAAGAAAGAAAAGCCCTTGGAGTGGTTCTGCTCAGTCAGTGTCCCCTAATCACAGCCCTGGAAAGAATTCAGGCCAAGACGAAAGCAGGACAGCAGGCTCCTCTGACAGGGTCAGGAGAGGGCCTAGGAACCCAGGCTGACTGCCCATTTGCTTGCAGAGGRCAGAGCTCTGGGTCCTTCTGTGGACATGAGGAAACCCCAGGCTCCGAGTAGCAGGGTCCCTGTATGCCCCCCACACTGTGTGGGACCCATGGGGAAAAGAGGATGTGCTGCCCAGGGCTATGAACTATGCCTCATGCACCAGAGACCTGGGTTCAGCTTGAGGATGGGCTCACAGGCACCCCTCAGACTAGGAAGGCCTGTCTACTACTGCTGGAGCTATGTGTCTGGCTGTCCACCGGGTCCTGAGACTGTGCTGCAGGAAAGGCAGATGGCTAGAAAGCTAGGAGCTGAAGGAGCAGCAGCCATCCCTCCTCTAGAGACTCAAATGCCCTCCTTCCTTTGCCTTCCCCATGACCTTGCCCAGGTCTCCAGAGTGGGGTGAGGTGGACAAGCCTCACCACTCAAGGGAGACACTCTTCCTCTAAAGCAGGGGGCCCAGTGCTCTCTGCTCTGGTTAGTGGTCCAGCCCCGCCCTGTCAGCACCCCTGGGCCACCTGAGAGTGAGAATGAGTATGTGTGAGTGCATGTCTATGCATGTGTGCGGGCATGTTTGTATGTGTGTGTGAGTGCATGAGTTATGCACATGTGTGTGCATGAGGGTGAGTGACTGTGTGAAAATACATGTGAGTACATCATGTGTGTGGAAGTGAAGTGTATATGTAAGTGTGCATGTAAGAATGAGGACATATGTCTATAAGGTGTGTGCATGTGTGAGCCTGAATATATTCATGTGTGTGTGTGCACATGTTTGTAGTATATATGTGTGTGCACATATGTAGTGGGTTTGAGTGTGCGTTTGTGAGCGTATGAATACAAGTGTGTGCACATGTGTGTTTGTGCATCTCTGTGTGTGTGTGACTGCATGCACACATATTGGGGTGGAGGCAGCTCAGGGGCCTCAGCAACATAGGGCCACACGTCTGTCTCCATGCCTTTACCCTGCTCTGCCACCTCATCTCTGAATTTCTCAATCCTTTTCCTTTCCTAGCACCTCTGGGAACGAGTGTTGGAAAGAGGTGAGTGTCCAGATTTTATAGCTGAAGAAGACAAGGTTTTATGAAAGAAAGTAATTTTGTTAAGGTGACATGGGGTATAAAACTGGAGCCTAGCTCTTCCCTCCAGCTCCCAGTCCTGTCCCCAGTGTCTCCTCAGTCCTCCTCTCAGGCCTCAGAGGCCCTCCCTCTGCCCCCAACCCCTCCCAGTCCTGGATCCCATCCAGTAATAAGACATAACATTGAGCAAATGTTTATTAGGTGTCAAGCACCATTTGTCTAATGGTTACAGGAGCCAGAAAGCCAGGATTTGAATTTTCATTTGGTCATGTACTATTAGTTCTGGGACTTGAGCAACTTACCTATCTGTGCTTCAGTTCCCTCATAGTAAAATGGGGGTAATAACTGTGTTAATTAGTTGTGGGTTATTGTAACAAATACTAGAAGTAAATAACTTATCAAAAAAATGTTTATTATTTCCCACCTTATGACCAGGGAGCAAAAGAGAAAGAAGAGGAGACTAGGGTCCCATAATTCCCTTCAAGGGCATGTTCCCAGTGACCAAAGACCCCTTACTGAGCCAGCCTTCTTAAAGATTCCACCACTGTCAAATAGTGCCCCATGCTAGGGACACATGAACCTCTGGGGGATATTTATTTGAACCCCAGTAACAATAGTAACCATGTTACTGTGTTGTCATGAGGATTAAATGAGTGACAGTATACATAGAAGCACCAACAAGCACCAACTGCTCTGACGATTGGCATCATCAGTATCATTATTATTATGGCTTCTGTTGCCTTAGAGGAACTGGCTGTCCTCCTGGAGAAAGAGGAACTCAGCCCAGAGGCTGGCCTGGCCTGTGCTCAGTATCTCGCCCCTCTGTCTGCCTGGCCTGGCCTGTGCTCAGTATCTCGCCCCTCTGTCTGCCTGGCCTGGCCCTGGAGTTGGCAGGAGCTAAGGGTGTGGCAGGGCCTCCCAACCTCCTGGGGGGGATTCCGTGGCCTTTGCAGCCTCCTTCTCCCTGGACATCCTTAGGCTGGTGGCCCCAGGGCAGAGCATTGCCCTTCCTGTATGGGCCTACTTCCCTGGCTTCCCTTCTTCCTACTTTGCCACATATTCACTGGGCAACCTGGAGCCAGTGACTTCATTTTTCCTGACTTAGTTCTTTCTTCTGTGAATTGGGAAGATTAAAACCCTCCCTCCAGGTAACTGTGGAGATAACTGTATAGGGACATGAGAGGTGTCCAGTGTGGTGCCCAACAAATATAGCTTTGCACCTCCTCCTCTCTGCTCATGGTCCTGATGCCAGATTGTTTTGAATTGACCCTGACCCTTGAATGCATCTGTGCCTTGCAGATCGGAGCATCTCTGATGTCCAGCAATGTGGGAAGCGGCTTGTTCATCGGTCTGGCCGGGACAGGGGCTGCTGGAGGCCTTGCTGTGGGAGGCTTTGAGTGGAATGTAAGAAGCTGACCTGGATGGTCCARGATAATGAGGGTCTGAAACCTCCTCCATCCCTGGCCTTAGGGCTGAGAGAAACCTTAGAGGTGCTTAGAAGTTTGCATGGTAAATTGAGAACCCGTTTTATAGATGAGGAAATCAAGGCCTGGAAGAGGCAGAGGGACTCAACTGAGGTCTGGGAGGGCTGGGTTTGGGCCCCAGGTCCTCTCCCTCCCTGCTCAGGGCTCTCCCACYGCACACGCTGTCTCTGGGTAGGAGGCTGCCCTCCACCTTCCTTCACCATCTGGACCTTCTCCCCACTCTCCCAGGCAACCTGCCTGCTCCTGGCCCTCGGCTGGGTCTTTRTCCCCGTGTACATCGCAGCCGGTGTGGTCACGATGCCTCAGTACCTGAAGAAAAGGTTCGGGGGCCAGAGGATCCAGATTTACATGTCCGTCTTGTCTCTCATCCTCTACATCTTCACCAAGATATCGGTGGGTACCACTCAGGAGCCCAGCCTGACCTTGAAACTGCTGGTTGAGGGACTTCTGAATGCAGTGCGGTGGACTTGATGCAGAGAGGGAACCGACCATCACAGACTGGATGGAAGGAAGGGAGGGATGGGAGGAAGAAAGGAAAGAATGACAATGGAGAGACAGAAGGAAGGAAGGACCCCTGTAACCTATGTGCTCCCCCAGATAAAGAGAGGAGTGATAAAGGTTTGCAGTGAATGGCAGCCCCAACCATCAAAGAACTCACAGTCTAGGGTTTATCCATTCATTTATCCTTTCATTAACTGATTCTTCATTCAGAAATTAACTCTTCATTAATTGCCTAGAATGCGAACTCAGGAAACAAACCAGACAGGTCAAATGATGAACCCAAGTTCACACAGAAGGCCAGTCATCCTGGAAGTGGAACTAAAGTTTGAGTCCCATGACCCAGTCCAGGTCCTTCTACTCTGCCRTGGTGTAGACCTATGGTGCACTCATAAGGCATGGGATGTAGTCACCTGGACTAATAGCAATCAATCATTTAGTCCAGGTCCAGGGCTGAAAACTCCTTAAGGCCCCTCTTCCACCAATCCTGCCAGCTTAGGCACAGCTGCCCCCCTCAAGTCCCCCAGTAAACCCAAGCATGGAGGTTTTCCAGAACTCAGGACCACCAGCACTAGGGCTCCTGCCACACTGAGTCACCTGCGGGTTCATCCAGCAGCCACGAGCACCTCTGTTCTATCAGGGAGCATCAGCAACCTGCTAAGTTCCTACTCTCTCCTCCTAAATATCCTCTTCTTCTCCTTCCCTAGCTCCCACCCTCACTTCCTCAATTTCCACTTCATTCCTTACCATTCCCTTCATGGCCAACAGATCCGTCTATCAGCCAATTAAATTTTTCTTAGTTGCAAAGCTTTACGCAGAACTCCTTTGCTTTAAAGTCTCCACAGTTCCCAGTATCCACAAGATCAAGCCATACTCCTTGMTGTGAGCTTCAGACTCACCTTCATTGTGCAGAGAAGGTTGAGGGTGCCCCATGTGCTGAACTGGTAGGTGACATACACACAGCAGCCATAACAAGGGCCTCAGGTGGCTTTGACTTGTGGTCCTGGTTCTCTACAGACTGACATCTTCTCCGGAGCCCTCTTCATCCAGATAGCCATGGGTTGGAACCTCTATCTCTCCACGGTGATTCTGCTGGTGGTGACAGCTGTCTACACCATTGCAGGTAAGGCAGAGAGGTCCTATGAGTGTGCAGAGACTGAGAGACACAGAGAGAAAGARAGAGGSTCAGAGGACACAGAAAATCGATCCTGAGAGAATGAAAAAGAGGAAGAGACAGAGACAAAAAGGGGCTGAGACAGAGATGTGGGATAAGARGAAAACCCAGAGGAACAGACTGAGTCACACAGTGGGATACAGGGAGAGGGGCTAAAAGGGAAAGAAATAGGGAAACAGAGCCAGGCAGATGGCGCAGGAGAGATGATAGGACTGAAAAGACCGCCTATGTCAGGAAGCAGGGTACAGAYGAAGGAACTCTTGCTGGACCAGAGTCACCATGAACCGCCCCACCCCCTCTCCTGTTTCCCCCAAAGCATCTCACACGTGGCTGTGCACCCTGGGACACTGCATAGGACAAACTGACTTACGGCTAAGTTTGCCTTGAAAGACAGGAGGCATTGGGATGGGAGTTGGGAGGGAAAGGAGAACGCATTCCTGGAAGAGCTAACAGCACCAGGAGGAATGGAAGGAATAGTAACAGCAATAGTAAAGGAAGCTATGGCATCCTGGCCACAGTCAGACACCGCCAGGTGCAGCAAAACTCCACATAAACACATGGGCCTGTGACCAGCCTCCATCMTCCCAGGGTGGGATGGAGGGGAGCTTTAGGTGCAGGGAAAGGCAGGTGGCCAGAGTCCACTGTCCACAGGGTCTGTGTCTTCTTGGGTCTCCCYGCATGGCCAAGCACAGGCAAGGCACCTAGAGAAGATCCCCCTGTTGGTGCTGACTAATGAGGCTTCTCCTTGGTCCCCAGGGGGCCTCACAGCAGTGATCTACACGGATGCTCTGCAGACAGTGATCATGGTTGGGGGAGCCCTGGCCCTTATGTTTCTGGGTAAGGAAGAGGTCCCAATACATCCTATCTTCACCCTTATATTTTTCTCTGATCTGTCTTTGTCATTAGCACACCTTGCTTAGAACTTTCCAGAGCATGGACCCATGTCCTCTTGCTAATCCAGAGCTCTCAAAAAAGCAGGATTCCTCTCTACTCCAAACCAGGGATCTTGAGCCTGAAATCCCATCTCCCTTCCTGCTTCCAATCCTCATGTTAGTTCCAACCCAGGCTCATCTTCATTGTGCAATGAAGGTTGAGGGTGTGCTGAACTGGTAGGTGGCATACCCACAGCAGCYTTAAGGTATGTTATAGATCTGGGAGCTGCGAGCACAAGCTTAGTGGGGGCTCAGGACTATTTCTCCCACTGTGTCTCTCCCCACAGGTTTTCAGGAGGTGGGCTGGTACCCAGGCCTACAGCAGCGGTACATGGAGGCCATCCCCAATGTCACAGTTCCCAATACCACCTGTCACCTCCCACGGCCTGATGCTTTCCACATGCTTCGGGACCCTGTGAGTGGAGACATCCCATGGCCAGGTCTCATTTTTGGGCTCACAGTGCTGGCCACCTGGTGTTGGTGCACAGACCAGGTAAGGGTCCCCACAGGGCTTGGCCTGGCCCATCAGGGATTGGGATGGATTCCTGCAGAAAAACCAGGTGCCTGGATGCATAGAGATCTGGACCTCATTCTGGGRCTGAGTCAGGGCAGTGATCAGTGTCAGGGCTCAACTGTGGCTAAGCTGAGCCCCTCCCCATTGTGAGCAACCCACCCCCATTGCTGCCATTTCAGGTCATTGTGCAGAGGTCTCTATCTGCCAAGAATCTGTCCCATGCCAAGGGAGGCTCGGTGCTGGGGGGCTACCTGAAGATCCTCCCCATGTTCTTCATTGTCATGCCTGGCATGATCAGCCGGGCCCTGTACCCAGGTAAGAGCTAGTGCTGCTTTTGGGGCTTTGGGATACAATTTGCAAGGGGTTTTCAGAGAAGGTGCTCCTAGGTAAGGTGGGGCCAGTGCAAGAATTAGAAAGCATTTTCTACTCAGATTGCAGAGCAAGCATTTTAGATTTTGTGGGCCAAACATGTAATAAGTACTTCAGCAGATGAAATTTGTATCTGAATGCCATTTTTATATCCTGTTTTCCCTTTTTATGGGAATTAAAACCAATTAAGGTATTCTTAGCCCCTTCCAAGGATATTTGCCTTCATCAATATGTAAGACCTAAAATACAAAGGATTGCAATGTTGTACCTGGGCAAAAAATTTTCAAGAAACCAGACATCACTTGCCCCTTACCTTCTAGACAAGGTCTAGAAGTTTCCAGTGAATACTTTCTTATAGTGTCATGAAGCAAACAGTGGGCTGACCTTGTGAGGCACAAGACCCCACAACTCCAACTGCCATCCCTTCTTCTTCAGATGAGGTGGGCTGCGTGGACCCTGACATCTGCCAAAGAGTCTGTGGGGCCCGAGTGGGATGTTCCAATATCGCCTACCCCAAGCTGGTTATGGGTCTCATGCCCATTGGTGAGTCCTGTCTCCCTGCTCTCCATCCCAACCTGTGAGCCTACTCCAATCTCTACTGCCCAGGAGGAATTGCCCTTCAAATGGATGGGAAGAGGGAAAAGAAGATCCACCTCTGCACCCCATTCTCTAATACACACACACATGCACACACACACACACACACACACACACACACACACACTTCCACAAATATCTGTAACACACCTGCCCTGTGCCCTGGTGTTGGAATGCAGAGATAAAAGAAAGGCAGGCCTCTGCTCTCAGGCTTTATGCAGTCTCCAGGTTACTTGGACTCACCAGGGTACAGTACAAGGTCACCAGTGTGGCAACCCAGTGGGACAAAGGGAACCCTAAGGGGCCATAGACCCAGCCTTGGGGGAGTGTCAGRAAGGACTACCCAGGGAAGAAAATGGAGCTGAACTCCAAGGACTACCTCAGGCAAAGGTGGGGAGATGTGACAAATGTTGTAGGGAGAAGAGATTGCTCATGCAAATGCCCAGCGGGAGGATACAGAGCGTGGTCTGAAMCAAAAGTAGCCCAGCGTGGATTCGCCAGGGAGAAATGTCATGGCCAGGTGAGCTCTGCAGCCTGTCCTTTTCTCTGAAGGCAACGGAGGGGACTGTAGACCAGAGTATGGATGGCTGGATTTGTGCTTTAGAAGGTCCACTCTCTGTGGAGGATTCAGTATGGAGACAGGCTCTGGGGAGGCAGGGAGATGTCAGTGAGGTGTCTTCGGTGATCCAGGTAAGTTTCACCAATTACTTAACCAAAGCAGAGGTTTTGGAGGTAGAGAGAAGCCATTTAAAGACATTGGTGAGATAGAATCGGCAGGACTTGATGTATTTCAGGAACAAGAAAGACAGAGGAAATCAAAGATGACTCCCAGGTCTTGTCTTTAGAAAGTGGATTAATAATGACAGCGCGACCTGGAAGGCAATGATGTGTAGTTATTCCCTCCCTCCGGTAAAATGAGAAGCAAAGAAGTAGCAGAGGTGGTGGGAGGCCCAGCTAGGTCATCAGCCAAGGAGGGACTGATGGATGGAGAGGGGCAAACGGGGCAGAGGTGTCTCGTGGGAGAACTCTTATTGCCCAAGAGGAGAGCAGARGCCCAGAGTTTGGAACCTTGAGTCAAAGGCACCTGTGAATCTTACAGAACGTGATTAAATACATGGACTTTGGGGTAAAGAGTCCTGAGGTGGGACCAGGGCTGGGAATTCATTTCCTCAAGAGATAAGCAGTCCAGAAGCTTATCAGAGGGTCAGTAGGTGACCCTCTCTTTGTTCAAGTGGGAAAAAAAAAGTAAAGGGCCCCCAAAAAGTGAGGGAGTAGTCCAAAGAGCATCCATTTAGTTGGTTACTTGTGGAGTTAGGAAACAAACCCAGGCTTCTACTTCGCAGGCTGTGAGTTAGCCCACCACCACAATATGGTCACAGAAAACACTTTTTTAAAAAAGTAAAAACACTATAAACAAACAAATAATTATAAACATCCACCTTCCCCGCCCCCACTCACAGGAACCCGATAGCTGTTTACAGCTGTGAAACCCAGACTGAGACATCGAAGCTACAGAGAACCTTAAAGATCACCAAGTCTTACACACACCTCATAAGGAGACCAAGGCTCAGGGAGGGCAGATGAGTCACCTGCAGAAGCAGAGCCTGGCCAGAACCAGGACTCTGGCATCATGGGCCTCCTGATTCCATATCTGTGCTAGATGGGAACATCACCAATGGCTTTCCTATCACATCCCCACCCCAGACTCCTGGCTCTGACACTGCTGCAGCCTCCATGATCGACAGAGCCCTTACCGGCCAGCTATCCACTCCCGCTCATCTCTTCGCAGGTATGCGGGGCCTGATGATTGCCGTGATCATGGCGGCCCTCATGAGCTCGCTCACCTCCATCTTCAACAGCAGCAGCACCCTGTTCACCATCGACGTGTGGCAGCGCTTCCGTAGGAAGGCAACTGAGCAGGAGCTGATGGTGGTGGGCAGGTGCGCGGGTCCTTCCTTCCATCCTCCCAGAGCACCCCCTTTCTGTAGGAGATTGTCTGGGTCTGGGCCCTGGACAGGCGGCCAGAGCACTAGGTTCTAGGGCTGACTTTCTATGGGACCTCAGGTAAGTCCCCCTCCATCTCTGGACCACTCCTCCCCTTCCAGAATAATGAAGACTTTTGCATTTAGACTTTCTCTTGGAATGGATCAACAGGGTAATTGAGAGAGGATGACAGAGCACTTTCGAAAGGAAAAACAAACTGTGTAAGTGGGAGGAAGTTCAGCAAGCAGCTCACCCTCTGGGGTCTTTCAGACCAACTCTGGCTCTCATCTCCAGGTAACTGGAATGCTGTGAATCTAATCATCAGTCTCACCCCGAACACCGCCAGGTGTCATACTCACACTAGGATGAGTCATGTGGCCCTGGCTTCAGGGTGCCCACAGTTTAATGAGAAGGACAGAAACACAGATAACAGAGTGAGATACCTGCATCCAGGGAAAGTTGTTCATAGGAAAGTTGTCTTCAYGTGATGCAGAGCCTTGAATAGCATGCCAGAGAATTTGAACTTATCTTGTTGGAATCAGTTTGTGCTTTTAAAGGCATAACTTGATGGATGATTTTGTCTAGTTCTTAATAGGATGGGGATTTATAGTTTGTATAAAGTTAAGGGTCCTTTTTTGAAATCTCTGCTTCAAAATTTAAGGTTCCCCAACCAGGACTTCTGGAGTAAAGGGTGTTCCCCTCTTTGGTGGGTAGGCACATAGGTACTTGAGCTTCAACATCTTGCTCCTGCCTTTGACTCCCTGTTCTTTCCACCTGGATGCCTTCTGTCCAATGGAGTTCTGGCCCTAGCACAGGAAGTAATCATTGCCCCATCTGAGGGTAGGGCAGAGGAAGGGCATAAGCAACAGGGAGGCCACTCTGGTAGCCATTGCTCTAGTACGGCCTGAGAGAGGGAAAATGGGAGGAAGCTCAGAGACCTTCCACAAGTGTCCCTTTATCTTTTGCCCACCAACTGCCTAGTTTTGCTGAAATTTATTTAATTCATCAGTGGAATGTGGGCACCATCTCCTGGTCATGTGTATTATTGCATCCAGGACATCCAAAAAAATGTTTTTTCAACTTGTTTGCACATCTACAAAATTATTCATCAAGAATGCTTTGGGGCCAAGCACAGTGGCACACGCCTGTAATCCCAGCTTATCAGGAGGGTGAGGCAGGAGGGTCAAGAGTTCAAAGCCAGCCTCAGCAAAATCGAGGTGCTAAGCAACTCAGTGAGACCCTGTCTCTAAATAAAATACAAAATAGGGCTGGGGATGTGGCTCAGTGGTTGACTGTCCCTGAGTTCAATCCTGGTACTGCCCTCCACAAAAAAGAATGCTTTGGGGACTTAGGACTGAGTGAGAATTAATCAAGGGGGAGTCAGGAGAAAAAGAAAAAGGTGGAGTTCTTGCCTTAATCTTAGTGCCAATGTAAAGGAGAGAGTGAGGTTAGAGTTGAAGAAGTTCTTGGAGGCTGAAGTCATCCTGGAGAAAGGAGCTATTCTGCACAGGGGCTGGAATGCAAAGAGCAGGAAAGGTGTGCTAAACAGAGCCAAGAGGCCTTTGACTGGGGTAGGTGGTGGGTAGAAGGCACGAAGTATTCCTTAAACAGTGGGTGAATGACATGACCTAAAAGGCATCAAGCCAGGCACCAATGGCACATGCCTGTAGTCCTCATGACTCAGGAGGCTGAGGGAGGAGGATTGCAAGTTCAAGCTCAGCCTCAGCAACTTATCGAGACCATGTCTCAAAACAAAAAATGGTTGGGGATACACCTTAGTGGAAAAGTGCCCCAGGGTTCAATCCCAAGTGTCAAAAATAAATTTAAAAACAAAAGACATCCAATATGCAAGCGCTGAGATTTTACAAATCTGAGTCTCTTGGTTTCTGAAACTCTGATTTAAGGAATTTTCAGTCTAAATTCCTGCGACTTAGTATTTGAGACCCTGACCTAACCTCCTCTGATCCCCTCTCTTCGCCCGTCCTGGTGTCTGTGCATCACCTTCACCTGCTGCAGGTCACACCCACCCGAGTGTGCCTCACAGCACCCTGTGCTCTCCCTGCAGGCTGTTTGTGGTGTTCCTGGTTGTCATCAGCATCCTCTGGATCCCCATCATCCAGAGCTCCAACAGTGGGCAGCTCTTTGACTACATCCAGGCTGTCACCAGCTACCTGGCTCCACCCATCACTGCTCTCTTCCTGCTGGCCATCTTCTGCAAGAGGGTCACAGAGCCTGTGAGTGCAGTCCTCCTCTCTCTCCCTGTACAGCAGAGGGTCTAGAGTCCTGTCTGTCAATCTGCTGGTTTCTGGGACCTTGGACAAACACATGGGCCTTCTAGGTTTCCATGTCTCTGAACATATCTCCAGGTCTAGATTCATTTGTCCACTCCACAGTTATCAAGCTGGTTATGACAGTTCCAGAGATGTCGTGGTTTACAAGGTTCAYAGAGGTCTGTCCTCACGGGGCCAATTCACAGAGGTTATAGAGATTAATGTCCACAAGAGGAARAGATGCCACCACAAACTGCTACTATATAAAGACAAAGCACAGAAGGACCAGAATCCATGGGAGGATCCACACACAGAAGGGGAGGCAGCCTCCACCAGGATCAGGGCAGGGTGCACTGACACCGTCACTATGAGTTGGACTGAAAGGAGTAGAGATTTTTTGAATGGTCAACAAACAAGTACATGAGAACAGAGAGAACTTTCCAATTCAGAACTCAACTCAAGGTGGCAGGAGGCCAGCTGTAGGATGTACATAAGCAAACATAATAAAGCACAATGACTGTTGGGAGACAGAAGTGCATAAGCTCTTAACCAATGGGACTCCTGGGAGGAGGGTAGGGAAGACTTCCTGGAGGAGGTGACAGAGTTGAGACCTGAAGGATGAATGGGAGGGGATGAGCATTCTGGACATGCCTGCACATCACATGTGTGACTGCACTAAAATCTGATAGTGGCTGAGGGAAGCTAGAGGTATTGGAATTAGAACCTTGAGTACTCCCTGGGGTAGCCTAGAAGAGTCAGGCCCAACTCTGCTGGCTGTGCCACGGGACATCATGGACATGACTCCACAAGACCAACGTGAGAGCTGAAGTTCACCGCGAAGGAGACCATAGAGACCCCTCCCCAGGTGGCCTGTGTAAACAAGGCRTCTGCTGTCTGCAAAGGTCTCACCTTGCTGACAACCGTGGTGCACAGCAGGACCAGTTGAAATTCTGGGTGTGTCTGTTCATTCCAGAGTTTTCAAGTCAGGATTAATGTCTCATTTTAAAAACATACATCATCTGACTCTTTCATACTTGGAACAGGTACAGGTTAAGGAGAAATGGAATTATAATAAATGAGTGGTACCAGAGTTTTTCTTGGAAAAAAAAAAGAGAGAAAAAGAGGGAGGAAATCTCTCTTCTGATTTCTGATTTGTCATATTGTCAGTTGGGAAGGGGTTACTAGTGTTCCTGGCCTATTACAAAAGCGCAGCCTAATCTATTTGATGACTGGCCATCTATTACTTAGAACCTACCAATTTCTCTTTTCATAGAGCACAGAGGAACACTCCAAGCCAGCAAGGTGGAGGCATTGGTTCAGAGCCATTCAACATGGAGCCCCAGTTGACATCGTAGTCCAGCTTTGAAGGCCCTAGCCTGTTCCGTACACTGCTCTGCCTGCCTTTTAAGTCAGGACAAAGTCTCAGCATTAATTGGGAGCTCGCTAAGACAGACTTGCCCGACACTCTAATAAGCCAGTGGGAGACAGATTTAGAAACACAGCAGCTTTTAGGTTCCGAGGTCCCCCTCTCTTGTTTCTCCAATGTCACCCCTGCCCCTGTCTGCCCCCTCTCCACAGGGAGCCTTCTGGGGCCTCATGTTTGGCCTGGGAGTGGGGCTTCTGCGCATGATCCTGGAGTTCTCATATCCAGCCCCAGGCTGCGGTGAGGTGGACAGGAGGCCAGCCGTGCTGAAGGACTTCCACTACCTGTACTTTGCCCTCCTTCTCTGTGGACTCACTGCCATCGTTATTGTCACCATCAGCCTCTGTACAACCCCCATCCCTGAGGAAAAGGCAAGTGTTGTGCTTATACTGAGCCCGCCCCCCCCCCCCGCCCCAGAAATGCTTCCCTGTTTCCTATCACCTGAAATGTGCTGGTTTTCACCTTGATAGGTTATGGTCTCCCCGGCTGCCATATAGATGTCCTTGGGAGCCGGGAACTCATAGGGTTGTGAATTTCCAAGAGAAAAGTAACTCATCTGATTCAAAAATTACTCAGTGAATACACTCTATGTGCCAGGCACTGTGCTGGGGTTATAGAGATTAATGTTCCCTGTTAGCAATTGTCCACAAGAGGAAGAGATGCCACCACAAACTGCTACTGTATAAAGACAAAGCACAGAAGGACCAGACTCCATGGGAGGATCCATTCACAGAAGGGGAGGCAGCCTCCACCAGGATCAGGGCAGGGTGCCCTGACACCGTCACTGTGAGTTAGACTGAAAAGAGTAGAGATTTTTTGAATGGTCAACAAACAAGTACATGAGAACAGAGAGAACTTTCCAATTCAGAACTCAACTCAAAATCCTCAACTCTTCCAAGCTGACTGATATGCCAGTCCTGGAACATGGATGACCAGTCTTTGGGGCCTTTTCCCCCTAGAGTCTGTGCTAGTTTGCTAAGGCTATTGACCCCAATACCTCAGACTGGGTGGCTTACACAACAGAATTTTTCCTAGTGTTCTGTAGGTTGGAAATCTGAGACCAAGATGACAGCAGAGTTGCAACTCCTCTTCATGGCTTGTCGATGRCGTCTTTTCCCTTCTTCACATGGTCATCCCTGAGTCTGTCTGTGACTTTACCTCCGCTTTAAGAACACCAGTCACATATTACCTCATTTTACTTTAATTGCCTCTTTAAAGCCCCTACCTCCAAGTGCAGTTTTTATGGTTGGGATCTGAAGTGTTTCCAAAGACATAATGTGTTGAAGGTCCCCGATGCAGCAGTATTCAGAGGTGGGGCTTGTGGGAAGTGATTGGACCATGAGGGCTCTGACCTCACCAGGGAGGTCATCAGTCCAGTGACCGCTGACTGGAGGTGGTGGAAACAGTAGGCAGGTGAGGCACGGTTGGAGGAAGTAGGTCCGTGAGACCATGCCCTTGGGGCCAATATCTTATCCCTGGCTCCTCCCCCCACCTGCTGTCCCTCTCTCCTTTCTGGCTGCCGTGAGCTGAGCAGCTTTCCTCCATGACACACTTCTGCCATGATGTTGTATCATGGATCCAACCAAGTAAAGATTGAAACCTCTGAAACCATGAGCCTGGATAAATCTTTCCTCCTCCAAACTGTCTTTTTTTTTTTTTTTTTTTTAGGTACTGGCCATAGCAATGAAAAACTAATAAATTATGTTAGCAGTGGTCAGATTATGAAATACTGGGGTTCAGACTTTAACATATGAATTTTCAACCAATGACAGAGCCCATGCCAGAATTTGGTACCTGAGACATTGGGTGGAAATCACAACTGACACAATCACCTGTAAGGTGATTCATTGATTTGGGTGTGTGTGGTACGGGGAATTGAATCCAGGAGTGGTCTACCCCTGCACTACCTCATAGGTCAGTTTTAAATCTTATTTCAAGGGTCTTGCTAAGTTGCTCAGGACCTAAGTTACTGAAGCTGGCCTCAAACTTGAGCTTCTCCTGCCTCAGTCCCTGAGTCACTAAGATTACAGACATATGCCACCATACGCCAGGCCTGTATGGCACTTTAGAGTTTGCATGGCAACTTCACACTGTTGGTTTCTATGAGCCGTACAAACAAGCAGGACTCTCACAGATGAGCCTTAGAGATGGACTCCTCCTGAGCTCCCTCCAGAAGCCACCTGTCACTGAGTCTTCTCCTTTGTTTGCCTTTGTGCTCTTCATGCTCAAGTCCTTCCCCATTGAGAATCTCTCCCTGGATCCTACAGGTACTTCTCCCTCCCTCTCTTTCCTCCTGGTTTTTCTTTTCCTTTTTTTTTTTTTATCCCCGCCCTTCTGATCTCTTTTCTACTTCTTCATGGGCTTTTCTTTCTGCCCATAACCATGATTTTTCCTTAGGAACCCATTTGTGGCCTACAATAGAATTTTCACTCTGTGATATCCCTGTGTTATGAATTCAACCACTTTCTACATTTCAGTTCTCTATCTCCAAGCCAAAACCCTTCTCCCAAGGTTCAAACCCCCACACTCAACTGGTTCCTGGTGACATAAAGTGTCTTCATTTACATGCTCCTAGTGACACACAGTGTAAGGAAGATTTATTATGCGATGTGGACAAAGAAGCTGCCCATAGAGAGGCACCTGGAAGCCTGGTGCTGCAGGGGAAGGAGGAAGCTGGGAGCACAGCAGGAATAAATGGCTGAACAAGCAAACCGAGCTCCCCGCAGGGGAAGAGCCTGGTTGGAAAGGAGGTGGTTCTGAACGTAGGGGTCCAACACCACTGGTGTCAGCCAGATAACCTGCTGTGCATGTCTGCTGGGCCACTGCAGAGGGAGAAAAAGGAACACCACCCGGGCCATCCGGGGGACATAAGGGTTTTTTCTCCTCACTGAACTTCTCCTCCTGGAAGTTCTACATATTCTTCAAGCTCAGCTTCATATTAATGTGTGCACTCCCCCCCCTCTCTCYCCCCCCCACCACATCTCTCACCAGCATGAAAATTTGATCCTGTCCTGTGTCCTTTATCCCTGAGGAGGAATAAGATCCATTTGATCATCCAAGGCAGGAACCCACAGGCCCAAGGCAGCTCCCTCCTCTCTCCCTCATCTGACTCCTCCAATAGGTCACCACATCCTAAAGAATTTACCTCCCTCACATCCCTTAGGACTGCTCCCTCATATCCAATACCACAGGAAAACAAGAYTTCTTGTTTCACTTTTGGAACAGCTTCTAGGTTGGACCCCTTCAATTTACTCCAAGAGATCTTTAAAAATCTCAGAACTTTCACATGGCCTACAAGGAGCTGAGGCTGTTGTTTATTAAACATCAACTCCTCAGCCTGACCTTTGAAGCCCTTTATGATCAGGCTCCTGCCTCCCTGACCTACCTGAGTCCCATGAGGCCAGGTCCATGTTGGATTCTGGTCTATCTGCCTGCACCCAGCACAGACCTGCTGGAGGGTGTGCTCAGATCTAAAGGGGCAGCCAGGGCTAAACCAGGCTCCTGACCCTCAGTCCTGGCCTTGTTCCTCTGAGGGCCTCCCATGAATGGGGCCTCTTTCTCTGCAGCTGGACTTCCCTCCAAAGGCACTGACTCCTGATGGCATATCCTTTCCCTCCAGCTTGTTCGTCTGACCTGGTGGACAAGGAATTGCAACCCCCCTGAGCTGGAGAAGGAGGCCTGTGAGAATGAGGAGGACAGCACACCAGGGCTGGCAGAGGAGGCAGCTGGGGAGTGCCCTGCAGGAGGCGGAGCAGCAGGGGACCTGATGGAGGAATTGGAGCAGGTTGGAGGTAGGCTGAGGGCATGCTTCACAGAGGAACAATGGGGACAGATGCCATGTCATGGGCCTCCAAGGCCCCTCTTGGGGGGTCACTGGGGATGGGGTCTCTGAGGGAGCCCAATAAATATCATCTTCTTCTCCTCCTTTGTGACCATTAAACTATTTGAGAAAGAAGTCAGATTAGTTAGATAGATGGGACCAAACCATTGCCCTCATTCATGACATAGTGTACATGGCAAGATTTGGTTTATATCCACGGGGAGGTGTGCTCCCTGATATTGAACTCTAGCATTAGACCCGAGGTGCTCTCTGGTCACCAAGAAGACCTAATCAAATAGCCCAGCCCACCCTGTGAAGGAGAGTTGTACAACCAAGTGTGCCCTCTTGTCCTTCCCAAATCTGCAAACAGGAAGGTCCTTTCTCCTCCCTAGGTTGAAGAAATATATGGCAGAAAATCAAAAAGAGTTCTACACCTACTGATGAGTTCTTTTTTTTTTTTTTTTGAGTGGAAGGGAATGTCAGCCATGGCAAAGAAACCYTGCCCTGTCCCCACCACCCTTATTTATTTCCCACTGGGTTTAGCACTTCAGTCACATGAAGGCATGACTGTCCCTGGTAGGAGGAGAGCAGCCACGTGCCCATATAGTTGTGTCTGTCTGCATGAGTTGCCCCAGAACAATCCCCTCCTGGGGGGGGGGTGTCTCCTTAAAATGGGCTTATAAACTGTGCCGCCCAGAGGTCCTGAAGTGTTCTAGAATAGTACATTAATTTCAATTGTTGTAAGACAAAATGCAACTGTCTTAGACAAATTGCAGCTTTCTCCTTCCTGTGGTGAGATTAAATAATATTAAGACATTCTTATGATAGAAGGACATTATTGAGATTTCTCAACGATAATATTCCCAAGGAAGATTTCAAAATCAAAAAAGTTCTATCAGTCTGCAAGGTAACATCCAAAAAGCAATCTGTCTTGTTCTTATGAATTAAAAATTCAATGAAATTTAAGTCCTAAGTTTATCTCCTGCCTTACTCAGAGGACATCCCAGTGCCTGGATGGAGTTGGGGTTCCTTGACAGCTGCTTTCCATTGGATTTTCATGGTTCTGTCAGGCCTCAGACAATGTCTTAGTTCTATACCAGCCTAATTTCCCATAATTCTGGCAAGTTTAAAAGCATAGACAAGATTACCAAAGCATCATTTGGTTGGCAATGCTCTGCCATTGGTTCTTGGGCTTTTGTCAGGTTCAGAGGGCCTTGTGCTGTCCCTGAGGCCCAAGCAAGCTCCTATGTTTCTTGAGGCCTTCAATCTGGAGAAATACCCACTTTCCCAGAATTAATCAAAAGCTCTAGATCCCCACCAAAGCTAAGGTTCAAAGCTTCTTGCCCAAGCCGCAGCAGTTAAACGTCAACGGCCCACTATAAAAAGCTGTCTATAAAGCCAGAAAATCCTTTACAAACCCCCACCGTGAAAACACACATGGACTCACTTCATAAAGAACCACCAAAAATCAAAGCCAAACCTCTTGGTCTTAGTGGTTGACCCAAATACTTCAGGTGTATTTTGCTTGGCAAAATGCAATTCCTTGTCTCTTTTTCAAGTTTGTGGCCAATGCACCAGATGTTGGGGTCTCAAAATCACCTCCCCACATCACTGAAAGGACTAGGTCCTCTCCCCTAAAAAGCTTCTGTTATGGGAAGACCCTCTTGCAAGGAGGAGCCCTGCATAAGTGCGGCAGCTCCCAGGAGGAGGAGGAGAAGGGAAGGCGAAGAAGCCGTAAAACATCTCCCAGAGAGAGCGAGGAGGAGGCAGCCTGTACTGCCTGCAGCTAAAACCCAGACCAGGCAGACCAGACCCTCGCACTCCCTGGATGGCCTCCAGGCCCAGGGCAGAGCATCTCTGGAGAGCAGACAGGAATGAATGCCTACGCCCTGTGGATGGCCACTCCAACAGGAGGAAGAGAAGGCTCTGAGTCAGCCACAACATCCAAGGAGAGAAACCCATGCACCTCCACACAGGCCACTGGGGAGGAGAGAAAGGGCAGGGAAGGTCCTGCCGCTGTGCAATGTGTGCAGTCTCCTCCCTGGGAGAGAAACGAACATCAGTAATCAGGAGGAAGCAGCCCCCGCAGAAAGGCCCACGGGCAGGTGTAGGCCAGGCAGCTTCATTTTGAGTCAAAAATAGAAATTTAAAGGGCAGTGAGTAGATCTAAAAGAAGTATATACATCCCAGGTTGGTTTTTGCACACTGTTTAGTAACTACTTAGATGAAGTGGACTTTTTGGGTCTGTGAATTCACACACGAAACCCTGTGTTTCATCTACCTCAGGGACCACAGAGAAAATCAAAGGAGAGAGAATATGGGCCAGCTGGTAAAAAGCCCAGCACCAACAAAATGTTGAATTCATCTTGTTCTTAGTGTAGCTCTGCAGCTGTGTGACCTTAAACAGGTCTCTTCCCTTTCCTGAGCACCTTTTCACCTTTATACAATGAAGGAGACAGGCCAGATGGCATCCAGGCCCCTGGTGTCTCTGACACTCTGTGGTTACAATAAACTCTCCAAGTACCCCATCCCAAAGCCATTGGATAATGAAGTGCTCATTCCCAGTGTTCTTTGCCATCTCCATGAAAGCCTTTTTATATTACTTTTATATGGTATACGTTCAAAAGATTTACTTTCTTTGTTTCTTTTAAACTTAGGTGTTTTTTTTTTTTTTAATAAACTGTGCTAGTTTTAGTCTCTGAGTGGGCCCTCTGCACACTGGAGGGGGGCCTTGTGCATTTCCAACATTTTATTCCCCAGAGCCTCTTCTCCCTAACCAGCTCTGGTACCTTTTTAAAGTGCTGCCAAATCTCCATTTTCATTCCATGCCCAAAAATACTCTTACAAGAACGGGGCATATGTCACTGATGCATTTGGGGGAGAAAGTACCAGCAGCTTAGAGGAGTGCAGTGGATTACATAGGCCTCACAATCTGCTGAGGCTGAGCTGGCCCTGGAGCCAAGAGTTCCTGGCCTCCCATGCAGTGCCTGTGCCTGTCTGTCCTCACAGCAGGGGCGGCAGTCTGTCTGGCTCAAATGCTTCCTCCTTCCTTTAGAAGATTATGTTCTCTGACCTCATTCTGGACTCACACTCTGATTCGGGGTGAACTGTGTTGTTCCCCCACCTTAACACACCACCCCCCTCCAAAAAAGATGCTTCAGCATCATGAATGGACGTTGTGGCCAAGGCCAGAGCTCAGCTGAGATCCCAACTCAGCGTAGCCTGTGGTCTGCACAAAGGGCCCCTCCCCACTTTCAGGGCACCCACCCACTCCTTCAGCTTCTCACCATCTCCCACCCCCACTCTCATCATTTGCTTGCCTCCCTCCACCCTGCTTCCCTTCCCCTCTGGCCTTCTCCTCCCAGCCCCACACAGGTCCTGGGGAAAGCTGCTCTGGGGCTGGTTCTGTGGGCTCTCCAGGGTCCCTGAGCAAGCTCTGAGCCCAGCAGAGAAGGCTGCACTAGAGCAGAAACTGACCAGCATCGAGGAGGAGCCATTGTGGAGAAGCGTCTGCAACATCAACGCCATCCTCCTACTGTCCATCAACATCTTCCTCTGGGGTTATTTTGCATAACTTCACAGACCTGGCTTTGGCCAAGACAGATTCAACACAGAGACAGGCTCTCCTCTCACCTGCTGTCAAACTGGAGGCCATAGAGCTGAAGCTACAGGAACCCCTGAAGAGCATCTAATCCAACTTCGCTTGGCAAGTGGGGAAACGGAGGCCCAGAGAGAACACTGGGTTTGCCCAGGGCCAGATAGCAGGATTCAGTGTGTTTCTGGACTCTTGCTCTCTTTCCATTATACTGTCTCATTCCTACCTCAAAATCAACATTTCCACCCTCTTGTTGAGTCTACTCAGGAATCTTCTGTATGTGAGTCTTGAGGTTAGAAAAGTGGAAAATACAAGTGGAGTACTAGCAACGAATTTTCAAAAAGTCAAGTGTCCCTTCACCATACCTTTTTCTTTTTCCCGTCTAGAGCCCCTATGTCTCTGTCAATTCTCAACCCCTGGTAATCTATTTGAAACCTGAGTCTACTGAGAAGGGCTTTATATTTCCATTGGTGGCTCCACAGTTGTGGCCGTCAGATCCAAAGGAGTGAGGGGTGAGGGTGGAATTTAAACATGATGACAGATGGCTCTGGAGCAGGGAGCTCTTGGAGAAGGGACTCGTCTTGGCATTATCACAATTCATCTCACTCCTACACTCAAACCTAACCCTGCACAGTTTCCATGGCTGCTTCAAGGAACTTAAAGTCCAGTTGGAGGGAGGTGATGTATTGAAAGATGGAGAATCAAGAGACGCTGCTGTGTACCTCGAGGTAGCCCTCAGGGGCAGCACACAGCCCAGAAGCCACCATCCGTGAGCCTCTGAACCTCTCCCTTTGCCTAACTAGCCTGGAAAATACCTGGCTTGCTTAAGTGCCCCTTCTCCAGGAAACTGCCCCAACATCCCAGTCAAGATTGTCCTCATACTGTCACAACCCCTGGACCTGCTTCTATCTGGGCACTGGTCACACTGATTGGTGATGTCTCCCTCCTTGATGGTGCACTCCAAGGATAGGGGCCAATGGCTATGCCCAAAGTGACTTTGTACCCAGAATAACAGGTGCCAATAAATGCTTATGGACCTAATACATCCTCCAAGGTCTGGTGGGTTTTGTGCTGTCACTGGCTGGGCAGAGACTTGGGGAGTCCACAGGTTGGGAGGCATCTACTTAAAGTAGAACCCAAACAACCGAGTGTCAGGTGGCGAGAATGAGATTGCTGCCCCTGCCACTGACAGGATCCAGGTGAAAGAACCCACCTTCCCCACCACGCAGGGGCTGCGCCACTCTCCTCTGATCCTCTTCAGTGCTGCATTTGATCATCACTGCACTCCAATCTCTGATCATGCCAGATACAAATTACAATCCCGTGTCTCCGAGGTGCAGATATATCCAAGTCTGTGACTACCTTTTGTTATTACTGCCTCCAAATTTTGGCTCCCAACCTTTGGACCTCTCATGAGACATGAGGTTTCTTCTCAGATATCTGATCACTGTTCCTCACTAACCCTGAGAACTTAAGCTTTTCCCTGATTTCCCCCAAAACCATTCAAGCAAGTCATTTGTGGACAACATTTATACTGAAGGTTTGGGTGGGGAAGGTCCATAGACCACAGAAGCACAATCTAAAATTGAACATGGACCATCTTATTTTAAACATTCCTCAGCAGCCCCCTAGGATTCCTCAGAGATCTCCTCCACCTCTTCTCCAACCTCCTGCTGCAGGAGGGTTCTCAGTCCTCTCCATCCCTGTCCCTGCAATTCTCTCATGTCTCCCCCTCCTTCTGTTTTTGGCTCTCCTCCTTTATTATGCAGAGCCTCTGCTAGACTCCAGACCCACCTCATCTGACCCACGGATCCATAGGCACACTGTTGAATGCACAGAACTGAAGGAAGGACAGCTGTCCCTGTGCCTGGTTCATTCCTATTAGTGCCTCACATTTCAGCTCAAAAGTTACATCCTAAGAGAAGCCACATGTTATGGTATGGATATGAAGCATCCCTCAAAGATGCATGTGTGGAAGGCATCCCCAGTGTGGTGTGTTTAGAGCTTTGGAAATTGAATGATCGATCAATGAGTGGGGAATGGCTGGTGCCGGGACTGGAAGGTAAGCTGGCGCTAACTAAACCTCATCATCTCTTCCCTGCTCATTTCAGCAGCCCCTGGACTTTCACATTTGTTCCTAATTTTCCTTTTCCAATCCATCCTATCCAGCTAATAAAACCCCCACATTTCATGGAAAAGGAAAACTGAAGGAATGGGACTTCTTAAGGTCAAACAGAGAGTCAGCAACAATTGCCCGGCCTTTCAAGATGAAAGGTGTTTCACAGGTGGCATGCGAGCCAGGTGTGACATAGGAGAGGCTGGAGAGAGCAGACATTTGAAGCACTTACTCATCACCAGGCCTGGATTTGGCCTACCATGGCACACAACTCTCACAACAATTTTTATCTTCATAAATGTGTCTATTATGTTCTCACTATTTATAGGGGCTTCCCAGTTCTTGTCCAACCTTCCTTCACCTATCCAACATCGATGTTCATGTAGCTCCTTTTCCCTGAAACATTCACGCCTGACCTCCTACCGCACACCATCTATCTCCTACGATAGGAATCATCTCTTCCAACAGACTTTTCCTGAGGCCTCCCCCAGCTATCCAGTTTGCTTTGTGTTCTTCCTCTGAGTCTACAGGCTCCCCTCTATTTCTTTCCACCATAGTAAATCTCTTGTTCGTGTTATATTTTTCTCCGTGCCATGGACTGGTGCTCTTCATAGGGAGTCAGCATGTTCACCCAGGGACTGCATGATGTGAGGGCATTTAGGAAGTGCTCAGTAAATGTCCAGTGAATGAGTGGATTCATAAATGTTAAATTTACTCCATAATATTTTGACTCTTTTAATTCCTAACTATAACCAAGAAAAAATGATGAACAGTATCTCTATAGGCTTTAGAGTTACAAGGCCCTCCCAGGTCTGAGGTCCTGTTAAATTCCTGTCACTCCTAGAAGAGGTAGGCAAGTGTCTCACCTTTTGTAGAGAGGCCAGTCACACCCACACCTGACCTGAAAGACAGCACAAGGAAAAGGAAAAACAAGGCAGCCGCTTCTGCCTTGGAGTTCCAAGCCCTGGGTCTCCACATTAGAATGCCTTTAGAGGGATTTGAGGAGCATCTGGAGGCAATGTCCCCCATTTGTGCCTCAGTTGCCCCAATCTCCAATGCAGCACATCAGCCTCATTGACTCTGGTGCTCCCGTGGCCCTTTTCCAACACTGCCACCTTTAACCTGCTCTCTCTCCTTCCATCGGGGGTGCTGTTCTCAGGCTGATGTCTCAGTATCTACCTGCTCAGGGATAAGAGGTCACCTGGCTTGTTCAATGTACACTTCAGCAGTCCTTGGCCCTCTGTGGTGGTGAGGGCAGTGACTTGATTGCAGGATGATGCCAGTTACCTTACCAAGCCCCTTGAAAGGAAGTGCCTTTCCATTGGACCAGTTGGCAGTCACCACAGAGTTATATCACCTCTTTTCAACCTTTCAGGGTCCCCACTCCAGTTCACGTCCCTGCATGAGGCAGGGACCAAAGGCTTGTATTCTAATTTGAATTCTTAATTTTGATACTACATGCTTTGTAACCCCTTCCCATACCTCAGTTTCTTCAACCTTAATAAAGGGGTGGGATGCAGAGTTTTGACCCTTCTAACATTGACATCATATGCTTTGAATTCAACTCCACATTTGTCTTCTTGGGGGCAGCGAGTGGGTGGGTAGGTTGACATGCCAGCTTGAGTGGCAACAGCACAAATAGAAAACACTGAAAAGTCATTTTCTGAGAATTGAAATGGGTTTTCCATGAGCAATAATAACATTAAGAAGCAGCTTTGGACTGTGAAAGGACAGTGTTTAAAAACAAATAGTGTTTTTAAAATACCACGAAGAAATGTATTTTAAAGTGATTTGCAATTGCGTTTGGATCACAAAAGTACTCAATTTAACACATGAGACTTACAACTATGTCCCTGGGTGTGAGAGCTCACATCAGTCAGAGGCGGGTGGAAACTGCTGGAAGCTCAGGCAAAAGCAATGTCAGTTTTCCATTAACCTAAAACGAGTGTCTCTCTAGAATTCTAGCTGTAAGTAAGATGACTATAATTTCTCTTTTTTCCCCTCCAGGGTGAAAAGTTGGAAGAATTTTAAAGGTTATATATAAATATAAATCCTAGAGACTTAAATTGAGGCAGTTACAGTTTACTTTCATATTTCAAAATCAAATCTCAGCTTTAGCACTGATTCACAAAGTAGAAATGTCAGGCTTTTTACTGTGATTTCATATTGAATCTACAGCTTTCATTTAAAAAAGTTTAAGAAGAAACCAACCTTTATACCTTATCTCCTGAAGAGAATAAAAAAGCTCTGGTCCATCTCTCAGTATGTTTGTATGTAAATTTTAGAAATACAAATGTTCAATATGAGAACAACCCCAGAAGCAGGCTGGTGCAGCCCTCATTTCCTCCTTGGTCCCAGTCAAAACTTTCTCATCAGCCTCTGGCAGGCAGGTTAGTGGGCCCTATGCTTGCACACTGCCTATGATGGGGAACTGACGACCTCCCAAGACAGAGTGCCCATCAATGAACCACGGGAACAACTGAAAAGTTCTTCTTTCCCCATCTAGACACTGCAACCCTGCAGTTTCCAACCACTTATACAAACTGAACAATAWGAAGATAACTCAAATAAATCATTTGCTTCAATATTACATTCTCATTATTTGTGATTTCTTCTTAAAGGAATAATTCACAAAGGTGAAAACTCCCTATAGAAGACTAATAAAAACTGGTATTTAAAAACAGCCTCACAATTACTGTATAAAGATGTCTCCACATCAATCATCTCATTTAGTCTCCAACACCACTCTAGGATGGCAAGTCATTTACAAATGGAGAAACAAACTCACAGAGGTGAAGAGCTGTGCCCTAGTCCTGCCACTTAATGGCCAAATTGGTCCTTGAATTCAGACTTCTGATGCCAC